GGTACGCAACAGTCACAACACCAATGGACTGAAGAGACAGTTATCACGTGACTTATTTTCTGTTTGGTCTGCGCTAAACAACAATAGAAATGTGTTTTCAGCGTTGTCCGCGCCGCGGCTACATAACACGAGTCCGCTTGCAGCTAAGGAGAGTCCATGATGGTTCAGCAGTTCAGAGTATAAGAACGAGTATGGAGTACAGATTAGGACAGAGGAGTACAGAGTGACTGAAGACGAAATAACAAGAAGACTTCATAGTGATGTGAAGCGCTAGTTTCTGTGTTGAGATCCGTTGCCAGGAGACGACTAGTGAAGACGGACAATCCTAGTGCGTGTGCAACGGTGAACTGTAAGTTGTGCAAATCAGCGATAGCGCTGTATTATTTGTAATTACGTGAGATGTAGCCGAAGTGCCAATAAACCCAGTCACCCGAAACAGAACCCGCTAATTTCGTTACGCTTACCCCACCCCTATGCGTGAAAATATATTTTCCGTGATCGTTAATGGTTCACGCTTATACAGCGTTGAATGAGAAGATGAGTGAATAATGAATTAGAAGGGCTGTAGAAGGGAAGCGGAAATGGCCTACTTCAAGGAATTATCCAGACAACTGTCCAGAGGGACTGAATCCACTAAGACCCATGAAGACCATCTATGGCCTGGCCGGAATTCGAGCCGATTGTTTCCCTAATGCATTTCAGAAGCGTTGCCGATTGGAGGCAGCTTCTCTGTTTTGATACAAAACACGTTCTCTATTCGGTACGGTTTCAAATGAACCAGTCTCAAAAGCAAAAGTTACGGAGACCTCCACTGCCCGTTTCTGCGAGATGGCAGTTGAGAACCGCGGCTGGAAGGATGCGACCACCTGGCTGAGCGAGCTGTGGGTCAAGGCGCTCAGGTCAACGACCCGAGGCGCAGGTGTTGCGGCCTGATCCTGACGCTGAACCGGCCACCTACATATTCTACAGCAGCGACACCAGGCACAAAAATTAATCCTTTCCCTATGTATAATTAAACACCATGATATAAAGACATGTGGGGAAGTGCAGGCGCTCTGTTAACGGCAGTAAAAGGTAAAGTTGTCCTGTGCTTAACTAAGTAAGCACTACGTCATGAAGGCGTATGGGGGAGTGGATGCATAGATCCATATTTTCTTGACCTTGGCACTATTTGGAGGTGAGTGGTCATCTTCACGCCCCGGTCGCTTTATCCCCGAGGAAAAGCCCCCGGTACCCATTGGATAGGAGGATGGGTGGACCCCAGAGCCAGTCGGGACGATTTGGAGAAGAGAAAATTCTTGCCCCCACCGGGATTCGAACTGCGACCCCTCGGTCATCCAGCCCGTAGCCAGTCGCTGTACCTACTGCGCTGTCCCAGCTCCTCTGTTAACTTCAGTACTAGATGGAATTGAGTGAAGAGCTTCACTTCCTGATCGCCTTATCCCAATGGAAGGAGTTCACCGTACACATTGGACAAGATGCGAGTCCTAGAACTGGTCTGGACGCTGTGCAGAAGAATTTCTTGCCTCTGTACTTTTTTAATTACTATTATTCTTAGTGGGGTGAGACTGAGTATACTTGCACTGCGGCCACTTCGGGCCTACTGTACCAGCCCCAGATGACAGATGATGATGCTTGTGGAACAGTTGGTGGAATGGAGATTGGCAGGGGAAACGGAAGTACCCGGAGAAAACCTGCCCCAGTGACACTTTGTCCACCACAAATCGCACATGACCTGACTCGGGCTCGAACCCGAGGCGCCGCGGAGGGAAACCAGCGACCAACCGCTTGAGCTATGGCACGGCCTGCCTCTCTACTTACTATACCAATAGATGGGGCGGTCCCTGGTCCCTGAAATAAAGGAAGGTAAAATAAGTAAAAGAGGAGGAATGTATAAAGGAAAGGGCAGCACTTGCCGCTCCCTGCAGCCCCTCGGTCCGGTCACCAGGTCTTCTGGGTTATGAACACCCTGTACTCGATTGTGTTGGTACCGAAGGTTCGGAGGAACATTGTGCCTCCTTTTTCAATGTAAATGATCAAGTCCCTGTTGTTCTAACTTACTTAACCCCATAGAGAAGTGTAATACTTGCTCAGCCAAGAAATGCATACATTTTTTTACACCTGAAGGTTCGTGATCGTGTTCACAAAAGTCCAAAACTGGTTCCTATTCTGACCTAGATCCTCTTAAGATCCATTTTAATATTATCATCCCATCTATGCCTATGTGTTCGAAGCGATCTCTCTCCCTCAGCTTCTCCTACCAATACTTATGAAACTTATTCACGAACTGTGGCAGTTTAGTCTATAATGTCTCCTTTGGGGGGGGGGTGTTAAAATTCTTATACAACCTCATTTTGAACCTGACTATAATCCACTTTACAATGTGAATTACTGGCCATTTGCATAATCAGATTGCACCATTTGATCTTTATGATGGAGACACAGGTTGAAGTTGGAATTGAATTTTTAAATATTTTTATGAACTCGCTGGTTTTTAGCATGAAGTTCATCTAAATAAGCGATTCCTAACTATTCAGCTGCCATTTTGTAAAAAATCTATTGCCCCACAATGGTGCCGGGGACAACTCGTTCGGTATAGCAAGTGAGCTACGGGCTGTAAGACCATGGAGTCCTGGTTACATTCCCTGCAAGTGCAAGAATCTTGTCTCCATAGTGTGCAGACCGGCCCTGGGGCCCACAGTCTCCTATACTACACAACCGCTCCCTTTAAAGTCCCTTTCAATTCATCAATCTAAACCTATCATCCGAATTTATATAGACACTGACAGCGTCATTAAATAATCAACTAACCCTCATCTAGTGCCGAGATGAAGAATGATGGAGCTGTACCTCCACTCCCCCACACGTCTTCATGGCTGCGTGCTTAATTAAGCACAGGGATAAATTTACTTTTGCAGTATCGTAGCCACACTACAGTAAAAATCAAAGTTTATCTTTCTCCAAGAAGTGTAATTTTATAATTAGATTATTTCATTTTAACTCCACGTTAGGCGTTAACTTTCCAGTCGGCCGGCCGTCAACACCGATATAAATATCATTAAAAAGGCAGTTCCTATCTCACAGAAAACACACTCCGCTGTAAGGACCAACCGGTTAACGCTGTTTAGGAAAGTAATCGCTGTTTGTTGTGAGGATCATACGAAACACACAAATGCAATGTCTGTGGGCAAAATGCAGTCTATTTACATGTTAAAACAGCTTATAGCCCGTACAGTAAAGACTTTGCTTTAAAGGATTAAGAAACCGAGATTCCGAACAAGGGGTTGGATTTTGCAGGGGAATGTGCCGTGATATGTCGGCTATACTCCAGCAGTAACACGTGCCTACTGTGTTGGCATCCAGTGCTGAGGAGCATGCGCACAACTCTCGTAGCGGTCCCGACTCTGCCAGCAGCCAACTTGGCACGGGATTTCTCCCTTTGCTGTTCTTAGCATATCGAATTTAAGAATGTGACATTGGAGGTTCTCACGGCGGTGTGTGTAACGCCGTGTAGTCTGGTAGATAGTTACAAGTCTTTCGCTGGTAAGTCTCTTAAACTACAGACGTAACATTCTGGGAAACAGTATCTGCAAACATTTTAGTTATAGAGAAGAAAGCAGTCTTCTGGGATTTGGCGCCGTGTATATGTGGTGTTAACCGACGTTTCGGAGGAACGTATCGCCCCCATCTTCAGGGTTGAAGAAAAAGTATAGGTAAATCTGCAAGCGACAACACCGTGAGACACGGTAAAGCACGTCTGCTTTACCGTGTCTCACGGTGTTGTCGCTTGCAGATTTACCTATACTTTTTCTTCAACCCTGAAGATGGGGGCGATACGTTCCTCCGAAACGTCGGTTAACACCACATATACACGGCGCCAAATCCCAGAAGACTGCTTTCTTCATAGTCACCGCCGTGAAAGCCTCAAATCTTACATTTTAGTTATAGGCCAAAAATAATTTTTAATAACAAATATATGACGTTTGTTATATTTAATGGAATTCATTCTTTGTAGGCATTCTGGGTGGATGAGACCAAATAAATAATCAGTGTTAATATGTTAACATTTCATTCTACATGCACAACTACCTTGAAAATGATCTTTATCCGTGACATTCACCAAACTGTATGTTCTCCCCCCGCCGTGTGTGTTAGATACATAACCCATCTGATGTGAAGGGTAGAAATCATAAAACTTTAAATTTTCTCCACCAACCAACAAAGTAACGAACCAACTCCATGGTGAAGAGTCCACCTTGGAAAGCTAATAATTGCTCAGTTAGCCAAGAAATTTCCTACAATTTATTGAACCCGAAGATTAATTACTGTATTCTCAAGAGAATTCCTCTGGTCCCTATCTTCAGCCAAATGAATCCAACCCACGAATGGAACATCCTGTTCCTTTACGACCCACTTTAACATTATCCTTCCATCTCGAACTTGTAGGTCATACTATCTCCACTCTATCATTAACTGGAGCCAGCCGGGATAGCGCGGTACGGACTGTACCACGGAGAAGTGAGGTTAGATTCCCAACAGGAGCAAGATATGTTCTCTTCTTCGCAGCCTCCACACAGACTCTGGGGCCCACCTACCTTCCTGTGGAGTAGCTACCGAGGAGGTAAAGTGGCAGGGGCGTTAAGCTGACAGCTCACCTCCTTCTAGTGCAGAGATTAATAATGCGTGGAGCTACACCTCCCCTCACCCACACGTCTTCATGGCATGGTGTTACATTAAACACTGGGACAACTTACCTTTTGTCTTCTGCTGACTTTATTACTGAACAGCGTGTTCTAAGACCTGACGCCATGTAGTCTGGCGTAACTTCTACCAGAATATAAGGCGTCACATCCCAGAAGAGAGTATTTGCAGAGTAACCGCTTTGAGAACCTCAAATCTCACATTCTTCTCTGTCCCTTTTCTGCCGCGCCCAAACATTTTGTCAGCACTTTTTGTCCCCCAAAAGATGCCAACATACTGGCAACATTGTGAGTACTCACCCCTATGTTGCCCGCTTCAGGCAATACAACTCTTCAAGCTGTGACAAACTTTTGTCAGATATCGTACAGTACACAGTACAGTCAGAACACGACTTTCTCCCGCAGCTTGTAACAGGAAACACACCAATCAATTCGGGTCACCAGCGTGCTTTGTTTTCTGTTTAGCAGGATGTGTCTGAACTGTAGTAAACGTATGCCATATTTTCATGAGTCTCTTCGTCACTTGTGCACTTCACTGGACCTCCCGACGTCGCCATGGTTGCTGCGAAGTTACCACGATACTGAGACCTAACTCAGCCACCAAACGTAACCTAAGCCGCCAGGCCGTGTACTGTCTGCACCGCCTGCAGTACTTTCTGACCAGCCAGTCGCTGTTCTGATCCTTGGCTCGAGTCGCGCCTCAACTCCTCAACTTCTGCTCTTCCCCTCTCAGGGGAGGGGGAAACGCTGCTATAGAATGTCCCACAAATTGTGTACCTAACTGATAAACTCACTGAGACCCTTAGCAGGAGGCCAGAAATAATTAGGCGTTCTTTGCGAACTAAAAGAGAACAACAATGAAGGCCTTCGTATCTGTCTATGGCCTGGAGCAACAACTCCTACACGGCGGGACAGATTTTGCTGAAATTCGACAGTTCGTTATCGGGGACTTCTGCAATTCAGATATTCAGTCATACTGAACTACACCAAACCCTGGTTTACATAGGCCATAAATGACTTATCCATGAATCCTCTAAACCGTTTCAGAGATTTTGTTGGAATTCTGTAAGGGATACTTCCACCGAAACTTGTTAGCAGCTCTTATTTTCGGTCATATTGACCCGTAATAAAGTCTAGTTTACATAGAATCATAAATGGTGGACTTTTCCATGCATTCTATGGACAGTTTCACAAATTTTATTGGAATTCCGTACGGGAGACTTGTACCAAAAGTTGTCGGATAGTTCTGATGGTCAACCGTGTAGCTCAGCAATGAAGCCTAATATACTTAGGGCAATAAATGGAAAATTCCCACGTGTCTCATTGTCGTTTACTAACTTGCATTTCTTTATTCCCATTTTGAAGCAAATTTAATAAACCTGAAAAACTCCGTTAGTAATGTTGTGTACTGCACTATGCTACAAGCCGGAAGGTCGCGGGTTCGAGTTCCGCTGAGGTGAATTTTTTAATTGACCTAATCTTTCCGGCAGTACTATGGCCCTGGGGTCGCCTCAGCCTCTAACAGAAATGAGTACCAGGAATCTTCCTGGGGGCTAAAGGGCAACCTTGAGGGCATCTATGGGCAGACTGTCTAGAGAAACTCTGGGAGCCTCGACCTCTCACAACCCTGTGGGCCTCCATGGCTTGTTACAGGGATAGCTTAACCAGCCTTGCTTTCAGCGACACAAAACAGAGTGACTGAAATATCTGACTGAGCGTGCTGTACCATCAGCGCAACCCGCAATTCCGTGTAAACTGAGTGTAGGGACCTCCTTTCAGCCTGTCTGTACAAACCAACTGATTCCTCATCCTTCACGCTTTGATTCTCTGAAACGTCTGTATTTGTCTACAAGACTGCACGGTGTCAAACCCTGAAGACTACAGTCTGGGGATTATGAAGAAGTCAGTCACTGAACTTCAGTAACCAATTTCGGTTCCCACAAAAAATGAACGAAACAGTTCCCTTTTCTGCTTTCCTTGCAGGAAGTATATAAAAGTTCATCCGCGTGTTTCATATCCGAAAGTTTATTATATTTTGGTATTGAGGATCTCAAACAAGAGTGCCAGGTGAATTTAATTTTGGTCATCATGGGCCCAGTGCAGTTTTGCTTGAAGTGGCTCAGCACACGAAACAGAAAGAAAACACCTGATGGAGTTCTACAACAGTCACGTGATCTGAGGGTCTTACGGTAGTGAGTGGCGTTGTGTGGTGTGGTGGACAGGTACCAACGTTTCGGAGGAATCTGCTGCCTCTATCTTCATGGTATATACCCCAACGGTACATTTAACAGTTATTTTATTACACACGATGTACGTATATACAGCGTAATGCAACGAAGGAAGCACTATTTCCCTTCGCTGTCTCTTACTAGGCATTATGTACAAATGTAGAGGTCATATCTGTCCGTCTGTCCTTGATGCAGTATCTGCGCCTAAGTCTTTCCGCGTTTTTTTAATTCAGTATGCATAACTTTCACTAAAATTAATCAGTCGATTATAATTTTTGTTAAAATCGGTAACGGTATTTAACGTTTTCTATAAAAAATGTGTTACTACGCGCATTGTTAGCGTAACTCGCTGCATAAGCTTGTAAATAAATACATAAAATTGTAGAGTTAAATGAAACCCACCGTCTGTACCCAATGCACGCTCTCCACAAGGCTCGAGCATTTCCAGATAATTAAATAAAACTTTTCTTTTCTTTGGCTCATCTCACAGGATCACTGAGATACTTCGGAATGATTTAATACAATTTTATAATCGAAGTCCTTGGACAAATCTGCCGAAAATCATGTTTAACGCAGTCGTTATACCGACTGGCTACGGGCTGGACGACCGAGGGTTCGGCGTTTGACTCCCCGTAGAATAAAAATCTTTCTCTTCTTCACGTCGCCCAGACCGGCTCTGGGGTCCACCCAACTTCCTATCCAGTGGGTACCGGGGGCTCTTTCCCCGGGGATAAAGCGACCGGGGCCTGAAGATGACCACTCACGTCCAACTAGTGCCGAGGTCAAGCAAATGTGAATCTGCACATCCCCTCCCCCCATACGCCTTCATGGCGTCGTGCTTAATTACTTACACACATGGACTTTACCTTTTGACCATATTTATCTGTTTGTGATATGATTATTTTAAGTTGCTTATTTAACGGAGCTGTATTAACTTCGACTGTGACCTGGTATCAGCTTAGCTTCACATTATTTTTAAAGTTCTGTCTGGGATCCTTTCACTAAGAGCTATCGGTCCGCCGTTTCTCGTCCATGCTAATCACTAATAAAGTATTTTTGCGTAATGCTGTAAATAGACGAAAGAACTGCAGTTAAGCTTAATAAGCCGTAAAGAGCTCCGCAAGGAATTTTGTATTCTGTATTATGGGTACGCGCCTTCAGTTATAGCTATTTTTTTATTGTTAGTGGGGTGGGACTCAGTCCCTTGCACTGCGGCCACTTCTGGCCTATTGTACCAGCCTCAGATGATAGGTGAGGGTGATTGTGGAGCAATTGGTAGCATGAAGAGTGACAGGGGAAACCGAAGTAATTGGAGAAAACCTGCCCAGCGCCACTTTGTCCACCACAAATCCCACTTGCCCAGACCCGGGATCGAACCCGGCCTTCCGCGGTGGAAAGTCAGCTGTGGCGCGGCCCTCAGTTATAGCTTACTTATGTTAACTGCACAGTGTTCCATTTAGTGTGATTAATATATTTGTACTTTCCGGCTCTTACAAAACTTCTTTAGAGACCGTGTGTGTCTCAGTACAGTATTCATTTTAAGTGTTCTAATTCAACAGAAGCTTGTGTAAAACTGTAGCTGTTCTGTCGGGATCCTGCTATGGAACATCCGGAGATATTATTAGATTACGTTGTACTCTTGCCAATGTGTACAGTATGCAAATATTGGGCGCCGTAAAGTTTCCATTATGCGTCTTTCGAATCCCCATTTCTTAGCTCTCTTGGTGCTTTAAGAACCACCAGGAGGATGAGCAGTGCCCATCGAAGTCTCTCCGTTGTTCCATCCGCCCTTAGGCATGGAACAACCCAAGAATAGTTAGACAATATTTTTATGGAATTTTATGTTATTCCAGACTTTTACGAAAAATTGTCAGGTCATATCAGTTTTCATTTAGAGCGGACATTTATAGCGACTTTACATGAAGACCTGCATGCATTCCTCGCTAACTGTTTATGCGGGAGATAATTGAAACACGCATTTTACAAGCAGCACACTTTCTCCTCAAGTGTTAACAGGTTTCGAAGTCATTGAGCGAAATGGATGTTATGACTACACAATTAATCATGACATCATGAGGAAGGAAGAACAAGAATAGAAGGCAGTCTTCATTAAGTTGAGCCTGCACTAGAATTATATATGTAGTGTGTGTGCTCCCTTACAGCGGTTCACAAACTTTTCAGTGCTCCTCCGTGGATTTAGTCCGCAAGCGAACTACTCGTATACCAACCGAGCGACCGCCGCTTGTCAGCGAAGTTAGTGCAAACTTTAGCGGATAGAGGGTGTCGCGTGGTCAGCGCAACAAATCCCTCCGGCCGTTAGTTTTGGTTTTGCGGAACTTATTTCGTAATAGAATATTTTTGTGGAACCCTGAAAGCAGTAACGTATTTTTAAATAGTTACTTTTAATTTATGTCCTGTACGTAAAGGTAAAATACCCTGAACTCTGTCCCTGAGCTTAATTAGTTAAGCACTGTGCCATGAAGGCGTATGGGGAATGGACGATACGCCACCCTTCTTGATCTCGGCATTAGATGGAGGTGCGTGGTCACTTTCGGTCTCCTGTCCCTGTATCCCCGGGAAATTGTCCCTGGTACCCACTGGATAAGAGGCTGGGGAGACCCCAGAGCTGGTCTGGATGCTGTGAAGAAAAGAAAATTTAGCACTGCGGGAATTCGAACCTGGGCCGTCCAGCCTGTAGCCAGTCGCTGTACCGACTGAGCTATCCTAACTCCATAAACTGGGGAGTACGTATAATTTATATTTATAATTGTGTACCATCACTAGCAGCATTGTTTTTGTTTCTGTAATTGTTAAGAAATAAACATTTCAAGAGTTTGTTGTAGAATGTTAAATTAAATCCACTCTATATTTTCGGGAAGAGTTTGCTGTAGCTGCTAGCCTAATGCGACTTGTGGAAGTGCTTGCAGGCCTCAGGGGCCTTGAAGCGAGATACAGTTTTGGAAAACTGCATCATGTAGTGTTTTGCGTTGGACGTGTTTCAGTATTTTGTGTTTGTTGTAAGAACGCTATTTCGAAGAGATATGTAGATAGAAACGGAAGTAGCTTCTTCACAGCTACATTTGGAAATATATGGCAGCTCTTCCTTCACAGGAGCTAAAAAGGTAATTAGAGGAACGTTTGCGTTTGCACCGCTGAAACCCACATCTGTTGAAATGTGAATTAGTTCTATTCCACTGTTAACTAACATTTATCCATGAGAGGGCACGTAACATGTTTCATAACAACTTCAAACCTTCAACATAACTTGTAGGTCACGTGAATGTTCCAGTATGTCTGAAGAAACATCATCGCTCTGATCCTCAGTTTCAGTGTTAGAAAACAGCCTGTGACGTATGTATGTCCTCTAAAATTCTATTTTGCCTAAGGAAGATACAGTTTTGTCATGTGCCGAGGTAAGAGCCGTGTCTTAGAGAAATGTAC